ATTGTAGGTGTATCTGGACAGAAGAATTTGTTGGTTGGCAATTTGGTATTGGATGCTCTGGATGCGTAGACCTTTCTGCTCAGTAAGTTGGTCTTTTTAGACTCCCTGTTCTTAGGGGTGGCCGCAGGTTGTCCCTGCCTCTCCCTCTGATTGATCGCCTGAACTACTAAAGAACCCGGGGGAGGGTGGGAGAAGAGATGTTTGTTACTCTCCTGAGGGACAAAATACCTCCATTCTGCACGTTTATCGGTGGGTGGGATGGACGCCGGGGCTTGCCACAGGGCTGCCAAAATCTTGGCTACCGTCTTGTTGATCGGCAATGCCACTCTGGAGGGAGTATCTGCATGCAAGATGTCCACGGTTGGGTCCGAGTCCTCAGAGACCTTGTCTGCCTGGACTCCCAGACTTTGGGCTAGCTGGCAGAGGAAGTCTTTGTGGGCCCTGGCAACCATGGAGGATGAGGAGGGTGCAGAGTCGGCTAGAGCTTTGTCTGGGGAGGAGGACGGTGACTCCTTTGCCATATCACTCACAAGGGCGTCTGTATGACCTGGATCGCCCGAAGTGACCACGGAGGGAGCAAGGAGAGGTTGGCTCACGAGAGCCACGCTCTCCCCTGGGCCTGGTGATGACTAGCCCGGAGGTAGCGAGTGGGACCAAGTGGGGGACTGAATCAAAGACGTCGCCGATGGAGGGACTTGTGGACCTGATGTGACAGAAGTCGGTCTAGGAAGGTTCACACCCTGGCCCTGATAGTAGGTCCAAGGGGTCCAAAAAGGCCACTGCCCGGGTGGCTAGAGCGGCCACATCTGCTGGACCATCGGTACAGGGATCAGCTGAGCCCACTGTTGTTGGTACCAATGTGGGAAAGTACAGTGCTGGGACCAGTTCCGGGAGCAGGAGCGGTGCCGTGAACAGGATCGAGAGTCCCATGAAGACCATGAAGACTCCGTGTCAGAATCGGAGGAGTACCCTGAGGCAGACCACGGCAGTGCCGATGCTGATGTTGACTGTCCTGCAACATGCCGAAACATGGCTTCCGGTTTGCCAAACCATTAAATCTTCCCTCCTACTTTAAAATATATGCTGTTAGGACCTGAAGGGATTCCTAGGTTCTAAAGGTATAACTGGTAAATCTGGAAGTCTGCTGGGATGACTTACTGCCATCTCAAGCAGAAAAAAAGAGACCAACTACTAAACCTGAGTGAGCCATGGGGAACATGAACCCACTATCACTTTGGCTATTAATTGTGTTGTTAGAAGGTAAGATTACATTAAGAATTTCCAAGAATAAAAGAAAGCATTCATTACTAATGCAACTTCTTTTTTTTTTTTTTTTTTTTTTTCGTTTTCCAAAAGTATGGCAACTTTCTGTTTAGGATTTTGGACGAATCAAGTTCATCTTTCTTGAAAACAGAAAGGTTTCATTCAATAACTTTTTGATCCAAGAACGACTTATGAATTGCTATTTACATAGCTCAATCTGTTTGTGGTGTTTTTCATCTCTGCATGTTACAATACACTTAAGTGTCAGACAATCTCCAATTGCTGATACACTTCAAGAGAGATGTGCTATATTCATAAACCACTATCTTACACCCTGTGGGTATGAAGGCTAATTTCTTGAGACCTCAAGATTGCTAATAATCTAGTACATTTAGCACAATTAAAGTTTGTACATATGTATACATGCACATGCACATATATACATACACATACATATTTACTTACATGTAAATGACCCTCCATCATTGTCAGAGAACACCTGACCGGCAATAACGTATTAAGTAAATACAGGCAGTCCCCGGGTTACATGGATCCGACTTACATCGGATCCCTACTTACAAACGGGGTGAGGCAACCCCGCACTAGCTGCTTCCCCCCAGCAAACCAGGGAGATGCGAAGCTAGCGCCCCCCACAGCAGACCAGGGAGACGTGGAGCAGCTTTTCTCAGCAGACACCTCAGCTTGAGAATAAAGGACTGAGGGAAGTGAGGTGTGGGAGAATAAAACTGAGCTCTGGAGAAATGTTTGGCTAGAGTTTCCCCTACAATATGTACCAGTTCCGACTTACATACAAATTCAACTTAAGAACAAACCTACAGTCCCTATCTTGTACGTAACCCGGGGACTGCCTGTAGAGTCATATCACTGCATTAGCTAGGGCCTGAACATGGTTGCTTTAGAAACTGAGAAATCCTAGAAAGCACTCCCTATTTAAATCCATGGAAGGCCACATGACTAAAGAATGGAGATCCCTGAATGATAAATTCATAGGGTTAGAAAGAACTACAAGGATCATCTAGTCTAACCCACTTCCAAAATGCAAAATTTTGTTGTGTCCAAACCATCAAAGACAGATGGATGTCTTGCCTCTTTTTGAAAACCTCTACAGTGAAGAAGCTTTCATAATCTCCAGAAGCTGTCTTGTTCATTGTCCTACTGTTCTTACCGATAAGAAGTTTTTCCTGAGATTTAATCTAAAGCTGCCCTACTTTAGTTTGAACCTATTGCCTCTTAGTCTACCCTCTGTGGCATAAGACAACAACTTTTCTCTATCTCCAGTTTATTCTAGCCTTTCAACTATCTTAAGTCTTGCTACCATATACCCCCTCAATCTCCTATTTTCCAAACTAAATATATACATTTATTTCAGCCTTTGCTCATATGATATGCACTTCATCCCTTTCTTCATCTTTGTCACTCACTGCCGGGTCCTTTCAAGTTTCATTACATCCTTTCTATACATTGGTGGCTAAAACTGGACACAGTACTCTGGCTGAGAACCTAATCAGTGCCCAACAGAGTGGTAGTATCACCTTCAGTGACTTGCATGCCATGCCTCTGTTAATGCAACAAGGGCTATCCCTAGAGGGGTGTGGTGCCTGGGGGAAATCACCTGTATGAGCACCCTCCTTAACATCACTCACTCTGTATTTGTTTTGATTTTTCTTCCTTAAATTGTAGCATCATACATTTGTTTAATTTTGTTATTTATAAACCAGTTCTCCAATTTACTGACATCCCTCTGATTTTTAACTCTGTCCTACAAAGAACTGGTAACACCCCCTAACTTTGTGTCATCTGCAAACTTCATCAGTATGCTTTCTATTCCTACATACAAGTCATTAATAAATATGTCAAACACCGGACCCAGAAAAGATCCCTGTGGACCTCCACTTGAGAACATCCTCCTATTCCGTGTGATTCCATGAACAGCTACTCTTTGTTTGTGATTGTTTAATCAATTATGTATAGTTCTGTCATGCTCACACTTCTCCAGCTTACTGATCACAATGTCATGTGTAGGGGCCCTACCAAATAGACGGCCATGAAAAATGCATCACAGACCATGAAAGCCTTCAAAGCTGGGATCCCCACCAGCAACTGCAGCTCTTCAGCTCTGAAAGCAGAACTGACACACACACACACACACACACACACACACACACCCTCCAATTGGTGTCAGGGTCCTTACAATCACAACACCATGAAATTTCAGATTTAAATAGATGAAATAATGACATTTATTATTTTTAAAAATCCTATGACTGTAAAATTTACCAAAATGTATGTGAATTTGATAAGCCTCTAGTCATGTGGGACTGTGTCAAAAGTATCACTGAAATCCAAGTACATAATGCCTGCCACATTTCCACTATCCATTAACTCAGTTACTCAGTCAACAGAGGAAATCAAGATGATTTGGCATGATTTGTTCTTGGTAAATCATGCAGGTTGCTATTGATTAGCCTTTGAGGGTCCAGAGAAGAGCAACAAAAATAATTAAACGTCTAGAAAACATGACCTATGAAAGAAGACTGAAAGAATTGTGTTTGTTTAGTTTGGAAGATAACCGTTTTCAAGTACCTACAAGGAGGAGTACCTACTTGATAATTCAAGTACCTACTTGATACAAGGAGGAGGGAGAAAAATTGTTCTCCTTGGCCTCTGATGATAGGACAAGAAGCAAAGGGCTTAAATTGCAGCAAGAGAGGTTTAGGTTGGATATTAAGAAAAACTTTCTAACTTTCAGGGTGGTAAAAAACTAGAATAAATTGCCTAAGGAGTTTATGGAATCTCCATCATTGGAGATTTTTAAGAGCAGGGTAGCAAGACATCTATCAGGGATTATTTAGATGGTGCTCGGTCCAGCCTTGGGGGCAGGTGACTAGACTCGATGACCTCTCGAGGTCCCTTCCAGTTCTAGTGTTCTATGATTCGATGATTCTTTAATCCACCAGGTATTCACAAATTCAATGTTTTATACATTGGTCTAGTAGCTTTCTAGGTATTGAAGTCAGGTTGATTGATATTGTTCCCAGATACTCCTTTTTCCCCTTTTTAAAGATGGGCACTATGTTACCCCTTCTCCAGTTTTCCGAGACCTCTCCTGTCATCCAGGAGTTTGTAACTAGTATAGAATATTATTATTTTTAATGAAAAATACTTACAACTTGCATATTTAATAAAAAAATATTTGACAGGTAAATTTCCTGGAAGATGATTCATTCTTAGGAATAGCTAGAAATTTAGAACATCACATCAAATTTTAAACAAAGATACGTCAAACCTCAGAAGCTTTTATCCTTTACATACAACAATACTGATTGTAAAAGGTATACTGGATGATCTTAAAAGTGAGCCCCAAAATATCTTTTTATGGTATATTTACAGTGGACTTGCAAAATTCTACTTGCCCATTTACTCAGATTGAGCACTTTAAAAAAAAAGCAAAATTCAAGAACAAAAAACAGGAAAGTAAAATGAAAGTTGTTTCATTATCAGCAAATCAGCATAATAAAGGACAAATGATAAGATTTTTTTGGTTGGGTTGTTAAATTCTCATGCCAATTTTGCAAGGCTGCCATAAAAGATGGCCATCTAACTCAAGATGCTTCATGAAGAATCTAGCTCATTCCAAACCAAAACCACACAACAACATAGTTTGTTTTGTAACAGTAACCACGTACATGCATAAAATACGATAAACAAATACTTACTGTACCATGGGAAATTGTAAGGAAACCATTTTTAACGGAGCATTTCCTTTTCTGCCACACTTTTCTGATTCTGGTTTAAAAAAGACAAAATGACTGAAGTTTATATATAATTAGTATTAAAATTACATGGGCTCTCAGTACTGCAGTTTTTTCTAGTAAATGTCTAATTGTACATACCCGTCACTTTTCTTATACAGGCTACCATTTCTTTCAGTGCCATGTTCTTTGTTTCCCTGAGGCTGATGTAAACTGTAAGCTGCACTCTGACGGATTTGAGACTCCTGAGAGGGGTGGGAGTGGGGGAGAAGGAAAGCATTAAAGTTTGGCACTCCAATAAAAATCAATATTTTTGCCTAAATTAGAGAATATCATAAGAGAGTTCATTTCTCCTCCCAGATGGAATGAAGGAAATTTAAAAAGCAATTAGTATTGGTACCCACTACTACCACAACGCAGAAGGGATTCCTCTGAAAAAACAATGCAGCCGTGGTCTCAGGCTTGGTCTGCATTAACTTTTCAATGGATTTCCCACCAGACTAGTAAGGGAACAGCATACGTAGTAGGCATGTAAAATTTCAATTATTTTGCTAATTGAATAGTCAATGCAATTTGTATTGATTAGTCAATAATGGCGCTTCAAAGGTAAAAGCGCTCCAGAGAGCACGGGCGTCTCAAAGCGACAGCACTGCATGGAGTCCCCAGCTGATCCCTAGCTCCAGACGGTGCTGCCACTTTGAAACGCTGCGGGGATCCTGGTGTCAGGCTGCACATGGCATTTCTAAGGGGCAGCGCCACGTGAAGCCCGGGGTCAGCCGGCTCCATGCAGTGTTGTCACTTAGACAACACCACATGCAGCCTGGGCTCCCAGTTGGCTCTGGGCTGCATGCAGCTTTTCAAAGCAGCAGTGCTGCGTGGAGCCCTGGGTCTGGCTCCAGGCTCCACGCACTGCTGCCTTTTTGAAGCTTCCTGCCCCACTTGCTGCCTCTTTCTGATAAAGGCAGCAAGGGGGCAGGGGGAAGTGACTAGTCGACTAGTCTGTCAACTATCGGATAAGCATTTGCTTATTCGATAGCTGATTAATCGTTCACATCCCTATTATGTAGCACAATTTCAGACTTTCAATGTGTACATTCCCAACTCCTCAGTAAGCCCTCTGCGGATGCCTTTTTGCTTCTTTTTTTATTTGGCTTTCCCATCACCACTTAGGTTCTTTTTAATTGAAATCATAATTAAATAACGGGCTTACCAACCTAACGCAAAAATTCCTGTGTGTAGAGCACAAATAGCACAATCATCTGTTGGAACTCCCAGCTGCAACCTCCGTCCAGCCCGGGCCAGGGGACGCGGCGCTGCACGGGCCAGCTGGGAAGCAGGAACTCCCAGCTGCATCCTCCATCCAGCCCGGGCCAGGGCTCGGGGACGCAGCGCTGCATGGGCATGCTTGGAGCCCAGAACACCCCGGCAGCCACGCTGAGGCCCAGTATATTTTTTCCGCGGCCCGGTACCGGGCCACAGCCCACAGTCTGGGAAATGCTGTGGTAGAGGATTAAAGCATGGAGAAGCTCACCTAAATGAATCTCTGAGAATACCTAAGCATAAACCTGTTCAAAGAATAAATTGAACAGCTAAGAAATAAGCCTGTTAATTTAATAAACCCCTCATTTTCCAAAGAAGTGACATAGCCAGTCTCAAATGTATTAAATGTGTGTGAATACATTAAATAGAGTACTCCAAAGATTATGAATTTAGGAGATCACTGTTTTATTTTCTTAAGTAGGATTCTTTTTATATAGATGGGTTTATGCCAGACTATTTTATGCAGAAGAATTTGTCTTGGCATATCCAAATGCCAAGCATAAAAGTGGTATGGGGTTATGGGTTTTAACCCTCAGTAATCAATTTTTCCCCACAATATTTTCCCCCCATTAGTAATCACAGTCTAGTGTTTGGGCATATGGACATCAATCACTGGCATGCAAAACTGTTTCTAGCCATCTAGGCATACAAGCTGTCAAATGATGGCAAGTATGTGTCTGTCCCTGTGTGTCTGTGAGCTTTCTGAGCCACACCTTAGACATTGGGTCATCAGTATAGCACTGTTTTTTTGATACTTGGCCAGGAACAAATGCGTCAAGTCACAGACTTACTGGTCATTTTTTTCAAGTTTTCTTTTGCAATTTAAAAATAATAATCCAAAGCCATCAGCATACTTATATTTATCTTTAGATGCTTTATAATAAATGTCCCATGATGTGCTCTGAGTGGTGATATTAATATATTCCATGCTACTTCTCTTAGGAGCCAAAAATCTATTATTTATGTATCATCTTTATATTCAAGTACTGTAAATAAAGAAAAAGTCACTAACTTTAACCAGCTCTATGATCAGCTTTACACTCCCAGCCTTGCTCAGGACTCCTCATTCCTCCTACTTATCTTGCACCTTTGCTCCCATTGCTCTGTGTGACGGAGCGGGTCCGCCCCCCCCTTGGGAGGCGAGCCCGCCCCACACTAAACCCGCGGTCGCCCTGGCGGTCCTCGGGGTGACTCCCTCCCCGAGGAGGACGTGCGCCGTGGGTTCGGCCGCCGCTGCTTGGCTGAACGTCGGCGCCAGGGATTCTCCGATGGCCGTGGGGATGGGGGCGAGGAGGCGGAGCCCGGGTGCGTGGGGTGGGACATTACCACGCCGACGCACCGGAGGCGGGAGGTTCAAAATGCCGGCGGTCGCCGGCGGAGGGGGGAGGAAGGAAGCGGAGTAGAGCGGAGCGGTGTAGGAAAGCGGAGCGGGAGGGCAGAGGAGGAGGGGGACCCGGACACCCCCAGGCGAGCGGAGACCGGGAGCGCGGCAGCAAAGCGGCGCCGTGACTCGGGTAGGAAGGGGGATAGGAAGTAGCCCAGGGCAGGGCGAGGAGCCGGCGTGCTGGTGGGTTGCGGACCAGCAACGCCCCCTCCCCCCCCCCAGCAAGGCAGGGTTAATTGGTCCTGACCTTAGGGCCCAGGGCTGGGGTCCAGGAGTGAGGGAGGGCCCGGACCCCCCTATCCCTCCCTGCCAGTACGGGAGATCGGAACCGCAGTGACCCCAGTGCGGTAGCGACAAAAGGAGGAACTTTGGGAGTTGGACAGGGGTGGCGGGGCGCCACTCTGTCACACTCTGCCTTGTCCTGAGTACAGAAATGCTGCTCCTAGCAAGTTTAGTTTTCCAACCACCCTTTACCCTGATTATCTCAAAGTTTCAGATGACCTCCAAGATCAACAGGTAACCAGGATTTTTAAGGATTTAGTGTTTTGCAGCTTCTTTTTGTGTAGAGTACTGTCCTTTCATCGGTTTACTCCCAGTTTTATGTTTTTGTCCAATTGGGAACCTAATAACACAATCTTACTGCTTTCCTCAGCTAAAGAAGAAACCACTCTAGATGACGTATCTTTCTACACATGCATTAGTAGTAATACACTATTTAAAAACATTAGAACTATTGCATTACCAACATGAAAGTTAGATTATGGCAGGGATAGGCAATAATTTTTGGTGGGGGGGGCATTCCAAGATTTTGGAAAGTGGCCACACTTTTCTGTGGAGAAAATGAGGAGTACAGGATTGTGCAGAAGGGTTATGGGATAAGAGACTGGGGTGCAGGAGACAGTGTGAGGTCTGAGAGGGAGTTTGGGTGAAGAAAGGAGTTGGAGATCGGGAGAGATCAGGTGATTGGGGTGTAGGGTCAGGGAGGGAGTATGGGTGCAGGAGAGGATCCTGGACTGGGAGAGGGGTGTAGGAAGTAGTACAGGGTCTGGGAGGGAGTTGTAAGCTGGGACAGGAGGGGTGCAAAAGATTTGGATGATGACCTAGGGGAGAGAGTAGAGGTGCCGGAGGGGCTGGAGTGCAGGAGGCAGGCTCTGGCTTGGAGGCACTTACTTAAGTGTCTCCTGGCCAGCAGCCCTGCAGCACCCCCAAGGCAGGCTGGGATCCCTGCCTGCTGCAGCCTCAGATCACTTTAAACTGCAGGCTGTTCCCTCTGTGTGTGTCAGCTCTGGGAGGGGGGAAAGGCTTGTGCTGACCCCCTACCTCAGGCAAATCTCTCAGTTCCTATTGGCCGGTTGTTTCCAGCCTATGGGAACCAAGGTCTGGGCTGGGGGCAGGCAGATCACATAAAGTGTACCCCTCCCTTCAGAGCACAGAGGCACACAGAGTAGCACTGCACTTAGATCAGTGGCTGCTACATGCCTGAGGGTCCCAGCAGGTTGTCCACGGGCCGGATCCAGCTCACAAGAGGTATCTTGCCCACTCCTGGACTAGGGGATGATATACAGAGCTTGTTACTTCTAGGTCATAAGTTTAAATGTGGTCCAAGTTACCAGTGACTCAAATTACTACCAGTTGATGGTTGTTCAGAGAACTATGACAACTAAGTTCATGGACTTAGTTTAGTTCCTACTGAGTTCATGAACTCAGTTTAGTTCATAGTGTAGATTCCATATGACAAGCCACCATTATAAGAAGCATCTTTCTGACCAATCTCCGCATGCTTTCTCTATATGCAGAGCCCCAACAGAATCTACTCCTTCAGCTCTGCTTTACAGATTCAAATGCACAGGGGTAAAGATCACAGATAGCACTGCTGGACCAGACTCAGTGGCTTAGTGAGAGGAAATGGGGAGTTCACTACAGGATTACAACTCAAATTGAAAAAGAGGATATTGTCTTTTTTACACACTTGATCATCATCTCAAAAAAAGAACAGGACCTTTTAAAAGCATGCAAGACTCTGAAATTGTACCTTGTCCCCTTCAGCTCTGAAGGGTCAATATGTGCAGAAATAAAATGAGTCATTTTGTTACCACATATTTACAGAGAGTCATTTCTCTGAGGATTACAACTCAAATTGAAAAAGAGGATATTGTCTTTTTTACACACTTGATCATCATCTCAAAAAAAGAACAGGACCTTTTAAAAGCATGCAAGACTCTGAAATTGTACCTTGTCCCCTTCAGCTCTGAAGGGTCAATATGTGCAGAAATAAAATGAGTCATTTTGTTACCACATATTTACAGAGAGTCATTTCTCTGGTTATAACCACACTGTAGAGGAAGTAATTTATAGTGTTACAAAGACCTTCTTCTAAGCCAAACTGAACAGCTTAGCAAACAGTTCACAGGCATTTTATTTGTAAGTAGAACAGCAAAAAATTGTCCTGTAGGAGTGTGAGAGATAGGCTAGGATAATTCCATCTTCAGTTTAAGAAGTCTAGCTAGCACCTCTTCCATCTGATCGCAATACGAACAGAAA